CCCCCCCCCCCCCACCCCGCCCCGATCTTCCTCTCCGGCGCGCGCCGATTAGCATCCCCCCCCCCCCCCTTTCTCCCCCGCCGGCCAATGGGAGGCCGGGAGGCGCCCGCCCCCCCCCCAAGTAGCGCACGCCGGCCGGCTGCCGCCTCAGAGCGCTCACGGCGTGCGCGGAGCCGGAGCTGAGGGAGGCGCGGGGCCGTGCGGACTATCTGCTATGACTCTGGAGGAGATCCACGGCCAGCAGCCCATGCCTGCGGGGCACGACTGGTACGTGCGGGTGGGCGCTGGGGAGCCGAGGCGAGCGGGTAGCGGGCGGTTTCGGGGCGGCGGTGGCGGCGGCGCCGCGCTGACCCGGTGTCTCTCTCGGCCCGCAGGATGCAGGGCGCCGGCACGGCCCTCCACGAGCTGCTGGTGTCGGCGCAGCGCCGCGGCTGCCTCACCGCCGGCGTCTACGAGTCGGCCAAGCTGATGAATGTGTGAGTACGGCGGCGGGGGCAGGGCAGTGTGCAAGGCAGCCCGGCGGGGCTGCGGGGCGGCCGGTGCCGACCGCGGCGCTCACCGGGCTGCTCCCCTCTCGCAGCGACCCCGACAACGTCGCGTTCTGTGTGCTGGCTGCGGACCAGGAGGACGAGGGGGACATCGCGCTGCAGATCCACTTCACTCTGATCCAAGCCTTCTGCTGCGAGAACGACATCGACATCGTGCGGGTGAACGACGTGGCTAAGCTGGCGGCCATCGTGGGGCCCAGCGAGGACTCCGGGGAGCCGCGCGATCTGCACTGCATCCTCATCACGGTGGGTGTCCCGCGGCTCTGCCCGGCGCGGCCCCTGCTCCGCTGCGGGTGGTCGAGTCCTCTGCCGGGCACAGACAGAGCGCTTGGCACGCAGCGAGTCAGCTGAGTGGGAGGAGGAGGAGGAGGCAGAACTTCTCGTAACTGGATTTCCTCCGCTGTCCGCAAGGGCAGCATCTCTGCTTCCTGTCTTGTCTGTGTCAGGACAGAAACTGTCTGGAAGTGCTTCCAGCCCTAAGCTAATGCTTCTGTAAATGTTACGATGACCTCAGCTGACGGGCAGCACTCACGGTGTGCAACTTTTTTCTTTTCTGCAGAACCCGAATGAAGAAGGCTGGAAGGATCCAGCTCTGGAGAAGCTGAATTTGTTTTGCGAAGAGAGCAGAAATGTCAATGACTGGGTGCCAACTATCACCCTGCCTGAGTGATGGTCACCTGGTGCACCGGGGAGGCTGAAACCTTTGTTGCATTCTCAACGTGCTGTGCGTTCACCAAAATGTGCAACAAGCTGCTGATTCCATGGATTAGCCTGGTCAAGAGACTGGATTAAAGTGCCTCAGACTGGCATGCAGTGGGCTCTTACAGAGAAGAAAGAGGAAAACAGCTCATCTCACCAGTGAGCCTCAGTAGGCTGCAACCGTGGAGAGGCTGACATACCATGGAACTGAAAGAAGTATTGCAAGTTTGGCTATGTGGAGCTGTTTCAGAAGGGAGAGGGAAAGTTGAGGGAAGTGGGCCAAAACTTTCCAGAAGGACTGGATAGAGTACTGTAACTAGGAACTGTTGGTGCTGTCTGCAAAACACACCAGAAAGTATCAATATTTATGGAGTATTGGGGATTGCTTACTAAGACAAATGCAGATATTCCAAAGCAGACAGACTTCAACAGGCCTCTTGGGTCACTCTGCAGATCTGTTTTAATACTGCAATAACTTTTATTGAAATATTTGCTGCTATTGAAGCTTTCATAATAAATTTTTGACAATTAATTTCTGGGAGTGTCTTGCTTGCTGGGTGTGGGGAAGCATGTCACTTAAATACTGCTGATGTTTTGCTTGTGTGCTGTAGTCGAAGATCGGCTTCACAGTAATGGAGTTATTGCTCAAATACTTTGCTGGGCTGGCTGAATGAAGTGCTGTGCTGTCCAAGTTGATAATTCAACCTTTACCCTCTTGTAACAGCTGCTTATCGCAACAGCTTGCAAGACGAAGGAGTCGCATGCCTAATGAGCTTACTTATTGTAATAGCAGGTCTTTGTAGTCTGCTGGAGGAGCACAATGCATGTTAGAAACATGGATTTTTGGAATACAGACCTCCAGTAAATTGCATCATTGATTCTTAAATATGACTTAGATGCATTCAGAGCTGACGTGTTTCCACTTGATAGAAGTGGCTTAAACATGATGGGGGGGCTGCAAAACTCCTTAGATGTCAAACACATCTAACATTTGCTTTGATTAGAATGACATCATTAAATCTAAAACTAGCAAATGGTGAATAAACATCACATCTGCCACAAGCTGCTCTCTGATTGCCATATGCTGTAACAATAGAAGCTGTCAGTCCAGAAGCCAATTTTGTGAAACCTAATTGCATGACAACACCAAATTAAGTCCAAAACAATTTAAGGATGGTGTGGCCCTTTTTAGACATTCTGTCATGAAAAGTTAATATGGGTGGGTTGATTTGGCCCTATGTTAAAAGGGAAAACATCGCCCCATTTTTGTGCACAAACTATGCATGTGCTCCAGGACTTGACATTAAAATGGCACAGTAATAATCCCCTCTCCACGGAGCAAGAAAGCTAAACTACTCACTTCCTTTATAGGCACTAAAACCACTCAGTTATCACAATTGCATTTCCTCTGGGCTGGCTTGCAGTGATTGACAGTAGCACTTGCTGAAAAGTGGTAATTTCCACTTGAGCAAGGAAGCTGCTTGCTCTCGGTTTCATTGTTCCCAATAAGGGAAGTTCAAATTCAGCTCCAACATTCCTGGAATATGCTTCCTTGTACAGGCGGCATCTAGCAGTGTTTGGCCTTTGTCACTGTGTCATGAGAGGCTGTGGGCTGCAGCATAACCAGCGCTCAGGCTGAAGTAAACACTATGGAGCCTCAGACCTCTGGAAGTATTAATTTTTGCACTTAAGATACAGGAGTTTCTGCACAGCTTGGTTTTTCTACTTAACCTGCACTCGGCAACTGGTGTCTGTCTAGGACTTTGAGAAAAGTCATATGGAGAAGCAAGAGAATAAACAACTCTGGCAGCTGTGATAACAGAAACTGCCTTTAAGGCAGTTGCCCTGCTACACAGAACATATCAAGTGTGGGTGCTTTATTAGACATTTTTATATTTTTTTCTCTTAGCAAGTGCAGGTTTCTTCATTTTACAGCCAAGAAATATATTTCTGCTCTTTGCTTGGGGCCTAATCAGTACTCAGAGCCAAGAACAGATTAAAGTGGACTGTCCTGAATTCAACTTCCATGTGAAGTGTAAGCAGTACTTTACAGCCTTGAGTGGTTTAAAGGAGCCTGAGAAGAGTAAAGGAAGTTCTCATGCATGTATGCAATTACATAAATCATTAAAGGATAGCAGAGAGTAAGTGTAACTGGTCTGTTGACTGAGACAGTAGGCATCGATAGTGGTACCTGGTGGGAAGTTTGATTCCCAGCTTTTATGGAAGGAGTATACTATGCAGCAAACAAGGAAATAAGTGGGGCAACACCACAATACTCTTGTGAGGATGTTTCCTCTAGTCTTATGAAAGATGGAAGGGCGACATTCTCCTTCAGCCTTGCGAAACTAAGTGTGCCCCATGAGAGGTACACGATTTCTTATTTTAGTGACCTCTATGGTTCTCCTGAAGTCTCTTATTGATCACTGCAAATACACTGTAATACAAATTGTATGAAACTGAGTTAGCCTGCAAGTGTTATTAATGCAGTGCTGCAACCAAAAGCAGCTCTGACATGCAAGTTATGTGCTGCTGCAAGCCTCTGTAATGATCAACACTACTTAATGTAACAAAAATTCAGCAGCTGGTATCTACATCTTTACATGCTCAGATATATAACTGCACAAGGAGCAACTATACATTTGTTAAAGATAGAGTAGGCTTGGGTATTATTGACTGCAGTGGGGACAGCTGGTCGGGAGATGGTTGGCTCATCAGATGTCCAGGATGTTTTGTCGAGTACCTGGGAGATCTGGAGGTTGCAACACTAATCTCTTGTGTCTGTGAGCAATATGCATGTACTTTGCCTTCCCAGAAGACAGAAGTTCCCGGGAGAGAGGCACTATGGGTTTCCAGAACCACTGGGAGCTCTGCCAAGGTGCCCCCTCCCAGCTGTGTTGCACAGTCTGCACAGGCTGGCTTGTGCTGTGCCATGGTGGCATGTCAGGGGGCTCTGGGGAGGAGACTGAAGTTAATAGATGTTAATAATAAAACTGGCTCTTCAGGATATGATCAGCTGAGGTGCAGGACATGGAGTGAACAGATTGATAGTGCTTCTGGCTTTGCTTTCCATCAGGCTCTTCACTTGTGTGTTACTAGGTGATAAAAACTGTGTATTTCAATATTGTCATCATAGCTTTGGTGTTGTGCTGACTATATTTCTTGGTACATTTTTTAATGATGTGATGCATAAAATCTAATTTAATTTTTTTGAGCAATAGCTTTGCATTTTTTCTGTGTATCTATTTCACCACCTAATGGTAATGACTGACAGGAATTTCCCTTCATATGTGGTTTGTTTCTCTTAATGCTGTTTTCTTCCTGTTACACTTCTGTGCATCACTTTACCTTTCTCCCTTTGTGGTTATAGATAGTCATCTCTTCAGATGCCTGACAGTTTTACTTTGTACTATATTAACTGCATTATCACCTTATCAGGATGTAAGTATGAATACTGGCATGCAGTTGTTGTAAACAATGCTTCCTCTTCCTGTGGAGTAGAAAATACAAAAAGGAAGATAATAAAAGGAATATTATGAAGAGGAAGGCAACCTGCTGCACAAAATAAAGTTTCTATAAAATCTGTGCATATGCTGGATGATATAAACAGTGTTTATAGCTCTGGATGCTCAGGGAAGGAGCTTATATTTATGCACACTGGTGGAGTTTTAGTTATAGGTGAAGGCTGTTTGGATTAATGTGAGTTCTGTAAGAAGATCTTTGCAAAACTGCTAGTGCCATAGCACTGCCGTCTGACACATGAGGGAGACCTGGCTCATCTCAACAAATCTATTTATGCCAGCTCTCAGATGCCCTGACTTCAGAAGGAAAGAGCAGTGTGTGCCTGTGTTAACACAAGGCAAGTATGCAGGCAGTACCTTACAAGTGGGAGCAAATGCCATCACATGTGTGTGTAAGGGAGATGAGCAGAGAAGGATGTGTGACCATTGTGTTCCTCGCAGGGGAACACATTGTGGACAGCTGGGCTCATGACTATGCATCCACAAGACTTCATTCACTGCACAGCAGCAGTGGCAGAACCCAAGGCTGGCAGAGGGATGGAGCAGTACAGACAGTACATACACCCCACTAGAGCCATTCTTTCTACAGGCTTTTATGAAAACTGCTTTTCATTCCTGCTTATTCCTTATCCATTTCATCAGCCATTTACTCACACTTAGTAAAATCTGAAAATGCAACAACAGGATATTGAAAAAACTGTGTTACTTCTTCTTGTAAAATTATTTCATACTGAATGAATGATTACTTGCATTTTCTGCATTGTTCTGCAATAAGATAGCATTGTACACAACTTTCTGACTATTGGAATGCATGTGAAATATTAATTTGAATGTATCAGTATCTTTAAAATTATGATCAGATCCCATATATCATAGTTACAGTGGTTATAGTATCTCCTCCAGTTTTCAATTGCATTGGCATATGATCATTTTGCCATGCTTATTTTCTTTTTATGCCTGAAAATAATGCAAAATTATTTCCTTCTGTTATTTCATTCTGTGTGTCAGCTCTCTGTAGGGCTGACTTTACTTTGAAATCATGACTTTGCAATATTAGTATCAACACACACCACTAATTCAAAATTAGTTTGTTCAATTATTTTTTTGGTTTTGTTTTGGGTTTTTTTGGTTTGGTTTTGTTGGATGGTTACTTGCTTTTCTCCCTGGGATTGGAGAGATAGCTGTAGAAAATAACATGAAGTTTAGTTTCTGTTTTTATATTGCCTCTGAGCTACTACTGGCAAGGAAAAAAGCTACCTTTTTTGAATATTATTTTGACAAAAGCATAACCCTGGTAGGAAGTCCCATGTATTATAAACCATTGTAGAATAGTGACAAAATTTAACAAAGAACATGTAAGATGAATTTTAATATCACAAGAAGTTTCTATCCCACTAGACCTTGAATTAAAGAATTTTCAGAGTGTGGAATTCAGGTTTTGCTTCCTATTTTCATTTTGGGGGTATTTAAACTATAGGAACATAGTTTTCACATCCTGTTGAAGCCAGCATGAAGCAATGGTGCTTAGTAACTTCTCTTTAAATGCAGACATAGCTAAGGCCCAAAGTTTTAAATTTGTATTTCGGAAACAAGACATGTACTAAGTGCATTTAGATACTGATATGCTCAACTGTGAGCCTAGAGCCAAAGCTCTTCAGCTTACAGCTAAACTTATTTAGCTGTATAGCCATAAACTTGCCTTGATTGAGGTTTTGCTCCTCTCCTTAAGAATGTGTACTGTAAGGGCACTGTTTTAGCTTGGATCAGTCAAGTGGCTGGAATTAACCTGTGGATCTTCTCCTGCTGGCCTGCTTTGGCTCACACAGCAGAACAGAGCTGGACCATGCAATCAGGATTTCTCAAGAAATCAAGAAACCAAGCCAGAAGACATATTCTGAGGGACTCTAATGCTTTCCAGCTGCCATTGAGCATTCAGTTCACGGGACCACACTTGAGGTACATACAGCACAATTATTTGCTGATTAAGAGTAAATAGGCAAGCCTTGGCACTCAAAGAAGAGAAGTACGTTGGCCTACTTTTCACAAAAGAAGTGATTTTAGTGTAATACTCATACCAATTTGTTTAAACAATTGCATGCTCTGAATTAACAGGGTTAAAAATCTGCTTTGGCAGCAGCTTGCTGAATTTAATTGTTTCTGAGGCAAGAACGATGAATGGGACTATTTCTAGAAGTGGTTGCCAAAGGTAGTTTTTGTAATGGGCCAGCACTGCCCAACTGGCAGCGTCAGGACAGCTTTGCCTGGCCTGATGCCTTTGTGCCTGAGGAGCAGGTGGCTTCACGAGCCACGCGTGATGCTCCAGCCCTGCTGCTGTGCCACTGCACGGATCCTGTGCTGGCCAGAGCAGGGGCTACCCCGCGTGGAACCTGCCCACTCCAGCTGCCACTCGTGCAGCTGGACTTTCTAAACAGGTGCAAAGGAACAAAATAGTTGCAGATTATTTCCAGATGACATAAGGATGAATACCCCAAGAGAAAACCTTCCATTAAGATCTGAATCCCTGAATTAAATTGTAGCAATATC